AAAAAAAAAAAAAAAAAAAAAAGGAATAAAATAAAAATCTTGCTTAATTAAGTAACATAAGTTTTATTTTTACTATTTTCTAATATCACGCGGGCAAAGTCGCGAGTAATAGCTAGTGTGTGCTAGAGTGTGCTAGTGTTTACTATAAATGAGTTTATTATTCATATTTCAGCAAGTTATCTATGGTATACCAGTGTGTGGGTTGTGACAATATAACACTACAGCCACTGGGAGGGTTCAAACAGAACCCCACGGAGAGGAACCCTGGACAGATGAAGGCATATTTACCAACAGGACCAGCTGTGGGAGAGCGCTGCACCAATTGCAATCAAAAACATCATGTAAGTTTAGACTACAGAAGCAAGATTTCCATGGCATTAGTTATTGGTCAATAGCAAAGGCCTTGGTTAGCATGAGTTTTGAAAATTGACAATGGCAAACAAAAGACATTTAAACAACACATAGATGAGACATAGTGAACAACAATTTTTAACCGGTACTATCTCAGTTGTCAAGTTTAGTGTACACCTTGTATTGACATGTAATAAAAATACTTTAAAAAATTATAATAAGGCAATTAAATACAATTCATTATATTGACCTTTGGTTTTAAGGATATCTATCTGTCAGTGGTAATTATGTGAAGTATGTTTCAAGTGTCAATGCCACCTCTATATATTTGAATATCTGTGTTGGTAGGTTTTCACAATGTGAACAATAAAGTTTTTATAATATAACAGACAAAATGCACCGAATCAGTTAGTCACATTAACTTGTTACGATATTCCAGCTAGGTGGTCCAATATGGTCCGCACCTATCCATGATGAGGTCTTCGTGTCGAAGGTCCTGACGCACGTGCAGGACCACCCAGAACTCTTTGGCACCGCTAAGCGGCTGGACGGAGTGCTGTCTATGGTCAGGGAAGAACTGATAGATACACCATTGTATTATATTTTGGATAAAATGTTCGGCAAAGTGCACTGCGAGACAATGCCCATGCTGGTTATGAGGTAAGTACAGTCGCGGAAATACGCGGTGTTATATTTTCAGAATTTAATTGTTCCTTGCAATAAAATACTCCGCCTCTTGTTAAAAATAACCAGTTAGTTACACAAACGACGGCATAACACAAAAACAATTCTTGTACCATTGACCAAATATTATTCGTAGATACATTCACATGCGTACTATACTATAGGTTGTTACCTACCTTTTGCCATCTGTTACAAAGTTTCATATATGTTTTTTACTTTGTTTATTTCATATAGGTTTTTTATTTTTATTGTTTCGGGTTTGAATGCATACAAAACGTTCTAACTACTGTAGCTCGTAATTTAGAACACTGCCAAATTCCCTGATAGTACATACACAATTATTGACAGACTTATTTTGGATTTTATGGTGTTTTTAGTTTTTTTAACTTGATAAATGTCATTAAAATTACATTATTGTGATACACTTTTTATAGAATTTACCATGTTATTCGTAATTATTTAGGTCTGCTATACTAAACGCGGGGTACAAAGTGTCGTACTCCCACGCGGCCAAGTTGTCTGTGAAGACTGCTGCGCCCGCGCATGTCGTGTGGGATATTGTACGCACATGGGAGAAAACACATCCTATTAAGCCTGCGAAGTAAGTTTTTTCACTTTTTCAATAGTAGCTGTTGCTCACGACTTCGTCCGCGTCAAAAAATAATAATAAAAAAAAAATTAAAAAAACACACAGACGACTTGAGTACCTGAAGACGCTCAAAAATTATAGCCTATGTTACTTACTGATCACATAGCTTTCAAACGGTGAAAGATTTTTTTAAATCGGCCAAGTAGTTTTTTAGTTATTTCAATACATGCAAAATAACAAATCTATCCTCTTTACAATATTAGTATCGATATTAGTATAGATTTGTAAATTAAAAAAAATCAACTAACCACACAGATTAGTTATTTCGGTTAAGAGCGCGCTTTGACTAAACTATCGCAGAATTGTTCAGTCTCTCTTTGATTCCTATGATCTTATCTGGAGGTTACTACTTGATTTTTAGTTGTGCGACTAAACAGTTGAATTTGCTGTGAAACAATCGACAATCTTACAACCGTTGTGCGATTTTTGAGTTAAAGGTCTGCGCCCGCTCTAAAGGTCACTATTATATTGACACAGACACACATACAGGATATCCTGAAATGAATAGATAATCCTGAATAGTACAAAATACAACGGTACAAAAAAAATATTGCTGGCATGTTTTTTTTTAATTTTCGATTTTGTAATAACCAGGTTAGAAGCAGATCCAGTAGCAAGACACATATTGAGTCACGAGACAAAGACGGCGATAGATCTGAGTGAGAGGGCGGACGCGAACCCTGTCAGTCGCCGAGATGGACGGTTGAGATTCCAGTTCAACCCTACTCCGTATTGGGGACCTGGCTCCAGAGCTGCCATCAAGTAATAGATATATCATAAATGTGGAATATTAAAAAATAATAAAATCGGATGCCTGCAAATTTAGTTTACAAAAATAATTTTACGCGTCAAAAGCCTTATACCCTTATACCTATCGATTATTAGGCGCTCTCGCTCGCACACTTGGCTTATCGAGTTATGCTTTTTCACACGTGTAGCAGACATTCATCGATTTATAAGACGTTATCACGTAAAAAAATCTATAATTAGATGTTTTATAATTTACCAATAAGGACAGACATAAAGTTCACAAAATTATTTTGAAAGCATAATATTTTTTAATGACTAAACACACTAATTTGTATATTTTATTTTGAAAAGAATCTCATGCATTTTTTCATTTTTAAGCGTTGGTGATGAAAAAATGTCAAAAGCGATAAGAAATCAGAATAAGCACAAGAAGAAAGGGAAGCGACAGCACTCGCCTAAAAGCGACGAAGAAGCGCGCAAGATACAAGCAAAAACAGACGATGATAATGTGTAAATAAATTATTAAAATCTTTAGAATATCTTATTTCCCGACTGTATTGTATAGATGCAAACTTAATTATATTATCGTGCAGAAACTATGTTTACCAAAATTGGAAATTTATTTTGAGAGGAACTATAAAAGGAGTATCGAGTATTCACTAATTAACAAGTATATGTTTTGTTTTATTTTGAGGATATTGAAGAAAATCACGCAATTTATCCTAGTTAAAACAAAGAACTTAATACTCATGAGACGTAAGGGACTCGAGGGTTTTTGGACGTTTTTTGTTTGATAGTGAACTGTCAATGTCAACTATGACATTTCTAAATACAAATATAATGCATCAAAATTCAGAAGCCACATAAACTTTTCACGATTATACCTCTATCTATAATTTTCACTGTAAATTAGGGTAATATTAAATTTAGTAGCATAATATTTCCATGACGTATTTGGATGGATATGATTAAATATATTACAAAAGGAAGTACAAAGCATAACAAAATCCCGATACACCTTATCGAATTATAATATTAAACGCTTCGTTCGCGGTCGCACGTGTTGTTTTATCAGTTATTTGTAAAGTGACATGTAAATTGAACTTGTGAACTCATTGTTTATAGACAAAAAGTGTTGTAAAAATAAATAATGTTTTCTTCGTCGATAACAACGTATGTAATTGCTATAATTGCATTTTTATTGCACACTTCTGCATATGGACAAGACAGAACGGTAAGATTTATTAATTTCCGTTTTACAAAGGAAACCACCCACAACAAAGATTTTTGTGGGTGGTTTGTTCACAGATTCTTTCTAATTGTCGTAATTTGCAACAAGCTAGTGTTGTTTACAATTAAAATGTATGTCGTGTCGAAACAATTAAGTAAAAAAATTACACAATTAAATAATTTCTCATAGGTAAACGTTTTAATAAAATTTAAAGTCAAAACATATTCATGATAAATGTTTTGTTTCGTTACTGTAATGTGTGAGTAATTAACTTGATATTTGCCCTAATTTTTCATTTACCCTTTTTCCTGTATTAAAACTACCATTTAAATTACAATAAAAAAAACTTTAAAAACAAACTTGCAGTATTACTCATTGCAGTAGTACTCATTAAAAAATATGTTTCCAGATAAATGCAGAGATTAATCCTGGCTGTAAAAACTGCAGTTTGGATTCTACCCTAGTATATATAAAAGCGGAAGGACAAACAGACACAATACACCAAATATGGGACTTCACAAGAGGGATACCTACAATGATATTGGCAGTTTCGGGAACAAACTCTACAATGCAAATATCCTGGGATGGAGAAAGACCAGTCAATTTTACAATGAATGACAAAGTGCGATACAGTTTTGCTACAGCTATTGATAAGGTAATATTTTGTACAATATTATTTAAATAATGTGCTTACCCATGCTTAAGCATCTCTGTTTCTCCAGTACTGGTCCTATTTTTGGACATCCTTTATGCTAAGAACTTTAGAATGAAAAACTTAATAGCTTATGTGATTTTCTGACTATCTTACTAGTATTATAAATGTGAAAGTTTAGATGGATGGATGTTTGTTAGAGTTTGTAGCCTAAACGGCTGAATGAATCTCGATGAAATTTGGCATAGATGTAGAGGATAGTCTAAACACATGGGCTACTCACTTTTGTTTTTTTTTAATTCAGTGCTGACGGAGTCGCGGGCGAAAGCTAATATTATATGTTTTTTTTATTTCTGTTAAACAGTTATGGACCTATCCTGAAATATCCATCCATCTAAATAGTATAAAATATTAGTACAGTAGAACCTTGATAAGTTAAGTCCAAGGGAATCATAAAATATTTTAAGTTATAGAGGTTTTAAGTTATCGAGGGTCTATGTTATAGAGGTTTTGGACTCTGATGGGAAGGGAACATATTGTTTAAGTTTTAGAGGTTTCTATGTTACCGAGGTTTGAGTTTGAGGTTCTACTGTATAATCAATATTTATATAACAGAAATTTATCAGAAAGAAAACAGAACAGTTCACTGAAGATATTAATTTACATTTGTTATGACTCAATGTCCTACTTAATTTGCTTAAATAATATAGCACTTGATCAAATACAATAAGGTTGAATATTCAACAACAGATTTTACAATGTATTAGTCATTTGTGAAACATTTGCAACTATGAAATTGATTGCAGCCAGATGTTACAAAATTTGAACCGATGACCTTAAATTACAATAATAATTTATTCTAAACTAGACTTTTGTCCAGACTATGTTCTGGTTTTTTCTACATTCATAGTAACATATATCCATCCATACAGGTTAGTCAAAATATTAAAACTTTATAAGAGTAGAAATCCTCATCTGTATAACAAAAAGATGTAAAAGAGGAGGGTAATTGAAGAGTCCTCGGAATAAATTTTTATGTATAATATACCGTTAGAGCGGGCTAAACCATCGCACAACGGTTTAGTCGCGCTTTGATTCCTATAAGCTTATATGGAGGTGCGGATACTCGATTTTTAGCTGTGCACCTAAACAGTTGAATTGGCTGCGAAACAATCGACAATCGCACAACATTTGTGTTATTTCTAAATTTATTATTAACGAGCTGTTGCCCGCGACTACGTCCGCGTGGTATTAGAAAACATACTAACTATATGAATTACAAAAAGCTACGTATCCCTCGGGAACCGGACATTTCTCTGGGATGAAGCTTATCTCATGTGAACTCCAGACTTTGTTTTATATCTGTGCCAAATTTCAATAAGATATGTTGAACCGTTGCAGAATGATCGAGTGAACATTAAAAAACTAAATTAATGAATCCCACGGGAGCCGTAACTATTCCCGGGATAAAAAGTAGCCTATGTGTTCTTCCAGACTATGCTCTAAACCTGTGCCAAATTTCATGGAGATCCGTTCAGCCGTTTAGGCTACAAACGCTAACAAACATCCATCCATCCATCCATCCATCTAAACTTTCACATTTATAATATTAGTAAGATTACATAAATCTTTCCAGATCTACGAGTACAATGATCTTGCGGACAAGGGTCGGATGGATGAGAAAAGTTGGATACACGCTCAGTCTTTGAAGAGAGTGAGATGGGAGCTGAAGGAACAGGTTATCACGGAGAAGGAGGCGATGGTGCGTCTACACGGGACAATGCATCAGAACAGAAGTAGAGACATCATTGATGTTAAGGTAGTAAAGAATCATTTAATATGTTTCCAGTTAAAGGGAATTCTTTTAGTCCACTTTTTAACCCAGTTAAAATAAAGTGTATTTTATTACTAACTAGTTGTTTCTCGCGACTTAGTTCGTTTGAATTTAAATAATAATGAATGATCTATGTTACTCACAGATAAATTACCTTTATATTGGTAAAAGAAATCTAATACAGACAAAAATTAAAAAATACAAATTTTTCCTTACAATATTCGTGTAGATATATACTAATATTACTTTTCTTCAAATATTTTTATGTATATACAAATAATAATAATTACGTGAGTAAGCCGTTAAATAATCTTACTTCTTACTACTATTATAAATGCGAAAGTTTGGATGGATGTATGGATGTTTGTTAGCGTTTGTAGCCTAAATCGCTGAAAGAGCATAGTCTGGAAGAACACATAGGCTACTTTTTATCCCGGGATAAGTTACGGTTCCCGTGGGATTCATTAATTTAGTTTTTTAATGTTTACTCGATCATTCTGCAATCGGATACGTAGCTTTTAGTTATTGATATAGTTCGTATGTTTTCTAATACCACGCGGACGAATTCGCGGGTAACAGCTCGTTAATTATAAAATGTCTCACGAAAGTTTAAATAATTTAATTATATACAAATATATCACCTAGAATATTTAGAGGTCACTAAAATAAGTTATCTTTTTACAGCTGGACCTCCTACCTTACAAAGACTATGCGACCGAACTTCCTCATCTTATCCATACTGCTAACTCCACCTTAGTGGACATCAGTCTGGTGAACCTGACCACCTCGCGCCAGTACAACTCCTCGCGGTTCGCACTGCATCTGCTACTGGTCAGCACGGACCCTGCGACTGATACCATGCATAATGTGATGAGGAAGAGCTTGGATGATGAGCACACTCCTGGTGTGTTTGAAGTAAGTACACTTTATAATTAACTAAATATTGATTTTTCTATAGCTTTTGTCCTTGATTCTGTCTGCGCAGAATAAACAAAAGTAGATAGTCTGTGTCCTTTCATAGTTCTACATTTATAAGAAATAGCTTTTGCCCGCGACATCCAAGTGTAAATAAAAAAGTGAGTAGCATATGTGTTCTTCTAGACTGTACAACATCTATACCATTTCCGAGATCCGTTCAGCAGTTTAGGCCACAAACTCTAACAAACATTCATCCAAACTTTCTCATTATAATATTTACTAAGATTTTAGTGAGATCAGTTTAGTGGTTTATGACATACCTTCTAATAACTATTTAAAATTTTGCATTTATAATAACACTTCATACTAATATTATAAATGCGAAAGTTTAGATGGATGGATGTTTGTTAGAGTTTGTAGCCAAGACGGCTGAACGGATTTTGATGAAATTTGGTATTGATGTAGAGGATAGTCTGGAAGAACACATAGGCTACTTACTTTTGTTTTTTTTATTCCACGCGGACGGAGTCGCAGGCGACAGCTAGTATTAGTAATGATAAGGAAATGTAGAATTGGAAAATAAAACGATAGACGATGGTGTGAAACGGAACGGATTTGAGCGGAAGGAAGTGAGAGGGGAGTTTGACAGATGACAGATTGGAAAGCAAGACGACTGGTGTGTGCGCGTGACCTTAAATTGTTAATTATAATATTAAAGAAAATAAATAGATAAATGCGAATCAGACTTTTATTAGAAGCTAAACAGAAAGAATCTCGCAGAAATGAACAATTTGAATGTAAACACTATATAATCTATTAAAATTTGAAAATAAAGAGACAGAATAGATTTTACTTATAAAGAGAACGAGTTATTAATATGTGAAATGCAGCTGAATATTTGAAAATTTAATAAAACAGTAGAACCTCCATAAGTTAAAGTCCTCGGAAACACAAAATATTTTAAGTTATAGAGGTTTTAAGTTATCAAAGGTCTTTGTTATAGAGGTTTTGGGCTCTGATGGGAAGGGAACATATTTTATTTTGAAGTTATAGAGGTTTTTAAGTTACCGGTTTGAGTTATCGAGGTTCTATTGTATTCAAAACTTAAGTTAAAGTAATTGCTTTTAATTGGAAATGAGAAAATATATTAACATATTACAGGTTGAAAATTTCGTTTTTCTATTTTTTTTACATACAAATACAGTCTTATGAAGATGTTTAGACATGGTTGTTGTATCTAGATAATCGAGATAAAGAGTCCATCTTCGCTGTCGCGTGGAGACGGCGGGTTCATGCAGTTCCGTCCTGTGGGGTACACGCAGCGCGCGCGCAACGTCGCCTCCTCCACTGTAGCACATGTTTCAGACTTCAACAGGTATGTAAAATCCACACCCTTTTGGATAAATAAAAAATCCAAATCGGTCCACCAGTGCCGGACATATGCACATAAAAAGGTATAATGCCTGTGCCCGCAAATCCATCCGCGTGAAATTAAAAAAAAAAAAAAAGAAAATAGCCTCTTTCAGACTATCCTCTGTATTCATACCAAATTTAATCGAAATCCGTTCAGCCGTTTAGGCTGCAAACTCTAACAAACATCCATCCATCTAAACTTTCGCATTTATAATATTACTATGATTACTATGATATACAGACGAATTACCTTCTTCTTATGGGTCAGTCAAAAATGCTTATGAAATCTATACTAATATTATAAAGATTTTCTATGTATTGTAGTAACTCAAAAACTAACCTAACTAACTAATTCCTCAATATTAAAAAATTACCATTAGAAAGGTAACTTGTCTAACATGAGTTGTATTGTGTGTTTTTACCATATTCTTTAAATTTTCTCGCGGACGAAGTCGCAAGCATCAGCTAGTTTATCTAATGTGCATAAAGATGACAAGGTCTGGTTTGTAGTTGGACTCATAAGTATTTACACATATGTAAAATGACAACCTAGAGAAATAGAAACTTTTTTTTTAAATATCTAGAATATCTGTGGAAGCAGTTTCGCCATTTTAGCATTCACGTCTTATATATTATACGTTTATTCACGTCTCATCCTTTTTCAATCCATACTTTCTCCATTTTTATCCATTCCTGTCTTCCCAGGACCTGGCTGCCGGAGTGGAGCACGCTGAAGACATTCTACCGAGGGTATGATGATGACGAGCTCTTGGTCCAGGACATGGTTGTCTGCTTCGGAGAGCCTGGAGATGGCTTCTACAAGAGATATAATTATACCGCATGGTAAGTATTTTTTGTACTGTTCTGCTTTTTTCTACTATCTTATGGATGTTTGTTTTATGAATGAAGTGATAGGAATGAAAGAAATAGAGATTTTGTAATAACTTGGAATGTTTCTGATTGAACTGATTTTGATGTTTGAGGTGTTATTTGTTTCGACTTCTGCCCAGGAGTGTTATAAGCTATATTACATCAGCACTAAATCCTTACATAAGGATTGAAATTTTATAATATGGTGAAAAAAAACTTTTTTGTCATTGTTTTTTAGTGAAATCATGTGTTCGATTTATAGCAGAATACTGAAATAAATCTTGGAAACTTCGCTTTGGTCGCTTACAATCTGACGGATGTTAAAATGTCAATCAAATTTGTGGTTAATTGTTTATTTAAGGCGTCGTTACATGTTTAAATGTCGTTTCAGTATTTGTCCGTTTTCGGTCGAGATTTTTTCTTTCAATTTAAGGGTATCGAATGTTAAGCCCGCTTCACACATTAGATTTATCCCAACGATTCGACTGTTCAAATGAAAAGAATGTGGTTAGCTAGCTTAAGATTTAATAACCTAACCTTAAGTTAAAAAAAACGGACGTAAACTGAAACGACATTTAAACATGTTACATCTTAAATGATAATGCCACAATTAAACTACAAATCCCATAGTAATTTTGACATCCGTCAGACTGTAATCGAAATATCTACGATAGTATTCTCCCAATAGTTAGTCGGTACTTAAAGAGTTATCCCCCTCCAGGTCATACACATTGGGTTACGGCGCCCCCCCAATAGAGGGTTTCTCATTGTTCGTGATAGTGATAATATCAGTGGGTGTGGGTGCGCCGCTACTGCTGGCGCTGTCGGGCGTGCTGTACGCGCTGCGCTCGCGCACGCGCACGCACTCCGCACTCGCCAACGAGGACTGACCCTACACCTACACCTTGATGGACTTGTACACTGAAACACTCACTATATAAACCGTTTTTATATAGCTTTTATAGCTCTTAGAGACTTTGTCCGCCTCAAATTGGAAAATATATTGTTACTGACTATATGTAGCTTTTATATGGTGAGAGAATTTTTGAAATCGCCCAAATAGTTTTTGAGTTTTTACAATACATGCAACTCAAATCTTTAATCTATGTAATACTAGACTAGCTGTTGCTCGCGACTTTGTCCGCGTAAAATTGAAAAATAATAAAATATAAGTTATGATACTCAGTGATAAAATAGCCTTTAAATTGTGAAAATTGAAATTGACCCAAGTAGTTTTTGAGTTTTTTCAATACATACAAAGATTGCATTTTTTTCTCTTTATAATATAGATAACAGATGTTTTTGTTTAATGAAATGGTCGAAAGGCGAGATTCAAACTTTCGACTACGTGAAAAGCCGTAATCCGTTAAGCATCAAGCTATTGGGGTTTCAATTTTTAATGCGAGGTTCACACTTGGACAGTTAAGTTTGCGCTTCAATAACTGGAATGACATTTAATCGGTATAGTGTGAACAATATCTCGCGCCAGTATACAATCTATCACTTGCCAGCGCAACTGTCCAACTATATTGACTGAGTGTGAATATTTTTATCTCTAATTCCTACTTTAACGCTGGGTTTTTATTTCTTTTACTCGAATTTCATATTATTTGATAAAAACGTTATGATTTTAAGATTTTTGACGTTTTTTAAAATGTAGCAAACTTAAAATAACCTATAAAAGAGGGATGAAAATGAAGCAAAAAATTATATTTAATTAGTTAAAAGTCTAAAAAAGACTGGAATCATTCGAGTTAATATTGTTACATACATTTCAATGCATTTTTATTAATACCATATTCAAGAAAGGTTTATAATTTGCTTTCGTTATAGAATGTGTTCGAGCCCCTCGGTGGGGACATATAGTGAGCTGGTGATGATGATAATATTTTTACATTATGACTCTTATTTATGTTTAATTAATAGAATAAGGTTAAATAAGTGTTTATATTTCTTTTCATTAAATTAATAATTTCATAAACTATTTTATATTCCACTTTGTTTAAAAAATTATGTACAAAAAGGGCTATGATTTTTTTTCTAAATTAAATATTTGATATCTTGTTAATGTGTAAATATGTTTAAAATTAAAAAAAAAACAAAATTCGTGTACAGTATTATTTAACTGTAATCAATTTGTACAATAATTTTGTTCCGCTCATTTTTTCTCTAGCATTTACTTATGACTTCATCTGCCCGGAATTAAAATAAAAATGTATAGTAAATGTACTTAAAGACACTTCAGTTAGTAACTATTTATTTACAACATTCGTCTTACGTGCTAGTCGTGTAACCTAATGACATTATCTTTTTCGTCCACCCGTGACATACGAAGTCGAGTCGTTACATGCCAGATACAACGCCACATACTCTATGTCAATCACTGATTATGTAGTTTTCTAATAAAGAAAGAATTTTTAAAATCGGTTCATTAGTTTTTGAGTTGATTTATTACAAACAAAAATACATATCTTTTCTCTGTTCCAATAGAAAGAGAAAATATGACAGATTTTTGAATAGTAAAAACCATGTAAAGTCTAAGCTCTCAGTAATAATATATGTATTTTAATTTTTTTTTAAGGTTATCTAACGTTTAATAATCGTAGGACCAGAGTTTGACTTTTGTAAATTAAACTTTAGTATGTTATGTAAAGATTCTGTGAACCCTTAAGCCTGATTTTTCAAATCAAATCCAAAACGTATGTACACTTACTGCGTTTTTTACTAATGGGGAAAAAGTAAAAAAATCAAAATGATGTTTTGTATGTTTTCGTGATATGCTATTTTTTTTCTGACTTGAAGATTATCAAGGGTAACATGTAAACAGCCATATCTATACTTCTACACTATTATATTAAAGCGTAAACCCACTATATTGTTGCTTAAGATGTCAACAACATATTTTTGAATGTTGTTTTTTTTTTTTTTTTAATAAAAACCACTTGCGTCACGCTTTAGGCTATATATTTAAACGCCATTAAACTAAGGGTAAATTGTTAAAATAAAATCGATTGTAGCCCAAAGCAATTTATAACCCCGGTATCAAAGAAATTTCAGGTATTTGAAGGTTCTTAAGTCCTATATAAATTGTATTAAATAATTTAAGGTTATATGCGTAGGTAATTTATTAGTAAATATTGAAAATAAATTATTAAATTTAATTTCACATTTAATTTCGCTAAATAATACTGAAATTCTTTGTTCATCTTAGATAGTTCATCAGATATTTTCCACATGCTTTATGTTTTTTTTTTCTTAATGCAAATATGACAGACTATGTATGTTTTTTATCTGCATTGGAGTTTTAGATCAATTTGTAAATATTTTTATAAGTTATAGTTTTTATTTTAGTTTTATAAACATTTAGACTTTTATTTCTGATGTGATATTGATTTGAATTTCCTATGTAACTTTGTGTTTATGAGAAATATTAAATAAATGTATTTTTAAATAGATTTATCTTGTTTTCATTTTAAACAAACTCAAACTGTTGTTGGTAACTGTGAATTTTAATTGTTAAGGAATTATAAATTTTTTTTTTCGTCAAATAGTTCTCCGTTTTTCTCTTAAAAAAAAATTATTGCCTCATTCAAAAAAAATTATGTGTCTGTGATTTTTATTAAAATATGATTGTTTATATGAATAAATCATACCTTAACATATATTTATACATCTTGCACTGCGTGATGCATCACTGCGCATTATGTACTCAACCTATGATAACCCGGCAGCCAGACGAGACACTGCGTGTTAATTATTGTTATGTAATTTTTACAAACAAAATGAAAATTAAAAATCTATTAAATGATAACACTTTAATTTACAAGTGTATAAAGGATTTTAGTAGGTGGCTCAGTGGTTAAGCACTTGTCTTGTAATCTAAAGGTGTTGGGTGCGAATCCCGCCGTACCAATGTGATTTTCGAATTTCATTTGTACATAATTTACCCGACTCTTACGGTGAAGGAAAACGTCTGCACATAACGGCGAAGAAATTCAAAGATATGTGTGAATTCAACTCGAAAAGGTATTTTGTTGAAATTGAATTAATAAAACTCCATAGGAAGAGTTTAAATATGTTATTTATTTTAATTGCTTCTCAAGTTTGTTAAAACTTAAAACATTTGCTGTACTAGGGCTAAAGGATTTCTAAATAAAACAATTTTTGTCTTCCAATTTAAATAAAGGTTTTAATTATTTAAAGATTTTCGTAAAAAGTAAAGCCAACGAGTTTCTATCACAAAAGTGCTAAATCTTCAGTCAGTTATCCGAAAAAAAATATTTCGTTCAAGTGAGACAATCCAAAATGGCGCGCCTGTCAAACTTGAAGTTTGCCCAAGATGGCGCCACAAAGTTCAACAATGAATTATCCTCATTATCATTTGAATTATCTTTTTGAACCGGTGAAAAGTTCGCTTGAGTATTCTGAGGGGTAAATAATTGCCTTTTAGCTTGTTTCTTTTCCTTTCTGTAATTATTATTTGTATTTTGTTTGCTGACACTTGCAACACCCGCAGTATTCTCTTGAACATTCCTCTGTGCGCTGTGATTCCCTTGGTTGCCATGACTGTGGCTGTTATTCTTAAATTTGTGTTCATTCTGATATTCTTGGATCTCATTTTGGAGCCCTGATGAGATTTTTTGTTTATTCTTGTTCGCTACTGATTCTAATTCGCCCATAGACTTGTGTCTCATTCTCCTTGTACTATTATATACTCTAGAACTTCTCTCTGCTACCCATCGCCTCATACGCTTCACGAAAGGTACCACCATAAAGAAGGCATTTGGTCCGACACCGATTTTCACTTTAGGAGTCATATCTTTCCTATTCGAAGGCAGATCTGCTAATGGGAACCATTCACATGCTTTAATTTCATTCCTAGTTTGAGGCTGGAACTTTGTTTCCCGAGGTATATACCCTATTATGTACAATCGGACAATTTGATCATGTATTATAGCCTCTATGTAATCATTCTTGTTAATCAATTTACTTATATCAAAGCCAGTTTCTTCAAGCACCTGGAAGAGTAAATATTTTTATATTTACCATTCAATAATTTTCAAGTAACATGAGTACATTTTTAATCTAAAATGTTAACCAGGGGCAGTTATCCCTTCCTCTGGGTACTCCAAAAGGTAAAATCCATACTATTATACAAGCATGCAATATAATAAAAAAAAACGAATAAAACACTATGGTTATGTTTCACTCAATGTGAAACCAAATAAAATTAAGTCTATGTCTCTATATTAAGATTAAAAAGCTATACCACACTTACCTCTCTTGCGGCACACTTCCATGGTTCTTCATCCTCATTGACCTTGCCTTTAGGAAAGCCCCAGGAGGCTTTGGTCCAGTAAGACTGCACTAACAGGACATGTGTTAGGTCTGTATCAAGCAGGATGGCACCGTATGTTGGCACTGTCTGCTTGTATTCACGCCAGTTGTCCAGTACTGCGTCTAAACTGCTGATATGCTCCCGCAGTTGTGGCACATGCTAAAAGAATGTTTTCTTTAGCGTATCTTATATGTACAATCAGGGAATTTGGTGGTAACATACAAATTTATCTACTTTTTAGTACAAAATAATTTTTTTATGGTAGATATTTTACTAAGTGCAAAAGTTAGATGTTTGGATGGATGTTTGTTACTATATATCTTCAAAATTGCTCAACAGATATTGTTAAAATTTGGCATAAATGTAGAACAATCTAAACTAAATTTAATTATTTTTAAATTCTGAGTTTCATAGTTTAAAAAGTACCTGAAAAATGTGTGCAGCAAATTCTCTTATACCACAAGTGTGGAGTCTTTTTGTTTCATCAGTACAATAATAGTCTAAGTAGAACCAATGTGCTAGTTCTATCTGGAAACAAATCCGGACCAGATTCCCTCTGTCTTCTTGAGGCAAGTTGATTATAAAACGGCTGAAATAATTTTAGTATATAAATTATATCATTAAAACTGTTACTTGTATATTTCAAAGTAACATTGATTTTTAAGTATATTTTTTTTTGGCAATTGTGACTTTACTAATGTTGCAAGATCTCTTATCCTTTATGTAAGATTCCAATTAGAAAATATTGTAAATAATTAAGGTAAACTTTATTTGCATTTTTTTGTTGTTTATATGACTGTTACAATGCGATAGACACACAATTATTTATTATGTATAAGGAAGACATTTGTTTAGTGATAATAATGTTCAGCCAAGTTTGTATTAACTTCTTATTTTATGCAACAAACAAATTATCAGCGGTCAATACCGAATCTGGGTAGTAAAATTATCAATATTGAACGCAAGGGTTGATCCAGCTTTGGCGCCGGGGGGTCATATAGTCGTGGTCAAGTCAAGAGCTTGACAAAAAATGTAAATATGTTTTATCAATCTCTTGAACAACCATCAAGGGGGGGGGGTCATGACCCCCATGACCCTCCTGGATCCGCCGTTGATTGAAAATCTAAATGCAAACCTGCATAAATCATCAAGAATATCTGTAGGTATGGAATGTTTGATCTTGTGAGTATTTCCTGTTGATCCCATGTTTCTAAGCTGAATTCTAAATACTTTATCACTGATATCTAAGACTTAGTAGTTCACAACACCAAATATCTTTCTTTTTTTCTGTTTTTCAAGCAATAAGACAAAAAAATAACAAAATTTTGATAACATAACATTGCGCATTTATGCTAAAACCAAAAACAATAAAACAATGGTAGCACAGATTAAATCTTTTCCGTTTGTAGTGTGTATACTTGGTGTATACAACTCTGGGAGACGGCACTTTAACATTACACTAAGCTTGGGAATGGAAAAGGGGAAAATGCATCCCACATTAAGGTAGTATCATTTTCATTGACGTAATAAAATAAAATCAAAATCAAATTTTTAACTTTCAATGGCTGTAAAAATCAGCGTTTCTGTATTATATATGTTTTTTAAACCATAGACTCTTTGTGGCGTCTGTCAAGTTATAACTTGACAATTCATGACAACTTAAATTATTGAATTTGTTTGACATGTTGGCACTTGCGCTCTGCGAGAGTATTTTAATATTTGTTAATGTTAAATCAGAGGTTTTCCGTTGAATTATTTTGTAACACACTTAAATAAAAGAAGCGAAAATGGATATAACACCACTATTCAAAGCTTGTATAAAAACAGTAAAGACTCGGAATAAAACATTCGGTATTCAAAGTCCTAGTAGTGAAGATAAGCAACGATTACATAGAACAAAACCAAAAAGCGAATTTACTTTAACCGCGCAAGATATTACTTGCCAAATAACACGCTTAAGAGATTTTTTATTGGAGCATAGAGAAAGATATCTGAGTTTCTTTAACAATGAGACTGGCGATGAGATGAGTGAAGCTGAGAGAGACCAAATCGATACCGGTGCTCAGAGAATTGTAAACACATGTTCCCATTTGCTAAAGGAATTCAGAAATGACAACCGTAAGCTAGCTGTGTCTCCACAAATGAGGGATTTTATGGATGCAGTAATAGACTTAATTGACATGTACTTGAAAGCTGTTTGCAAAATGCATAGTGAACTTAAAGCTTTAAGAGTCAAACGAGCTATAGATATTCGTAAGTTGTCGCGTCTCGAACCTCCTACAGTCAAGTCTACAGTTCGAAATCGTTTTAACCCTAAACAAACTGAAGAAAATAATGAGGAGAGAGTTTATAATACGGTTGAGTCAGATGAGCCCGATTTGGTGAAGACTAAAATGGATTTATCAGAGAGTGAAATGGCTGTCATGTCGGATGAAGGTGAACTAGATTCAGAAGAACTACAGATGTTTGAATCTGAAAATGTTCAACTTTTAAACGAACTAAACAGTATGACGGAGGAAGTAAGGCAAATTGAGAGTAAAGTGCTGCATATTGCTGAATTACAGGAAATATTCACTGAAAAGGTATAACACAATACATTTTCATCTAGTTTCAAGATACTGTAACTGGCTATTATATATTTTTTCTTAATAATACAACTTTTGTTTTTTCTTTTAGGTTCTTCAACAAGAACAGGATATAGACAGGATATCTAATACAGTTGTGGGGGCAACAGAGAATGTGAAAGATGCCAATGAACAAATAAAACAAGCTATACAAAGAAATGCTGGACTGCGAGTTTACATTCTATTTTTCTTACTAGTCATGTCTTTCACACTTTTATTCTTAGATTGGTATAATGATTAAAGAAATAAAAATATTTTTAATATTGAAATAAAACATATATTTGATATAACTGAATTTATTGTGTTAATATTTATTTATCCTTAAATCTATGTTTTTCATTGCTTCCTTTACATTTTTATCTTCAGTATTCTGATGTGATGTTTTAGTAATCTGAATAAAACGCAAAGGCGAAAGAGCGAAGTTTTTACATATATTGAGTCCACTCTCAAATGGTCATAATATTTACATATCCTCCATTAAAATATTGTCATTTAATAATTAATATTGCAATGGAAGTGAACAATACAAAAATATTGTTTTTTACCGCCCAACCCAACCCTTGGACTAAGTCATCTTTGGATTCAAAGCTTTTCCAACGATAATGCAATTTACAATCTATTCCGTTCCAATAAGGTTCAAAATTCTTCATAGATAAATGTACAGGTATAACTGTCAATGTCAAATATCCTTATCAATTTGATAAATGCAGTTGCACGCAGATATGTTGCACTGAAATCAATAAAGCTGTTATCCCAAAGTTATTGATTGAATCCCGGCCGGGTCCTAGTAATGGCAGTCGCCTCCGAGCTTTCTCCTGCAACGAACACGTAATCGAGGTTTTGTTTAAATCCCCGCCTTATCGTATTTACAAATGTCAAGAAAAACACTAACAAAAATATTATCTTCGGTGGAAAGAATAATTTCGCCGAAATTATCAAAGCTTACACAAGATTGCTGCATGTTTTGCTCAGATCTGATGAATATGGCTGATGTGACTATGGCCCTGTCCGATATGGGCTATGCTTTTAATACCGGTAAGTATACTTTACAATCCAATTTAAATTTGTTATGATTAAAAATGTGATATATGATATATACGAGTAAAAGAGTACACAGTTATTTCTTACACAAATAAATATTAGTTCCCACCTTTTTCATAACAACTGTTTGTGTTACAGATGGCCAGTTGAGGAAGCTTGGAAAGTATAAGATGTTAAGTGCTGAGCCATTTCAATACGACATAAGTACTGATCCAGAGGAATGTCAGGCTAATTACGAGAAACTGGGAGCTGTTATCACCAATTATGTGTATCAACTTCTTGAAACACAGGAGAAATTGATCCGCCTACCTGTTCCAAAAGATTCAACACCTGAAAATGGGACCTTTATTTTTGTTTCAAGAGATTACGACTTGAAAGATGTCTTAATGGTATTGATTCAAGGTTCAGGTGCTGTTAGAGCTGGACAATGGTCTCGAGCGTATGTATAATCTTAGCATGTTTTCGATTAAGAATCTCAATATCAAGTTTCATGAGGATATTATCTTTATTTGAAAATAATTTTCAGCTTGATAATCAATGAAAATTTGGATTTAGGAACACAGATTCCATATGTAAAGAAGGCTATTGGTAAAGGTTATGGGGTTATGATTTTGAATCCTAATGATAACGCCCGTGGTGAGAATCAAATCTTTAACAGTAGCACAGGAGAAGAGCATGCTAAATATGTATGGGATAATTACATAAAAGATACCAAAGCTTCGAAAATATTGATAGTAGCGCATAGCTATGGTGGAGTTATTACGGTAACCCTGGCTGATCAGCTGAAAGAGGAATTTGAGCAACGAGTTAAGGGTATTGCTATGACGGATTCTGTACATGGGTACAGCAAGTTCAAAGTTAATGATTATCTCAAAAAGGTACACAAATGATGCATCAGACTTGGGTAAACTAAAAATGAATCTATCTTAATATGTTTGGTTTTTTAAGGTTTCAAAGAATTGGATATCATGTTCTGCTCCACTTGATGCGCCAATGAAGACACCAGAGTTTGACATTACCAGAGTATCTGCAGGTAATTATTTTGTTGAAAAAAAAACTCATTTGTCTATGGTGTATAATTAGGTATTTTTTCGTTAGATTGTTAATAACTCCTTGTTGTTTCTGCAGGATTTTCCGAGCACTTTCTGTTTTTATGAGGTAATTAGCCTCAACCATGATTTTTGTACTGTGGTTTTGCTAGGTTTTTATTTAGAGGCTACTTAACTGATGTATTAGTTCTAATATGCTAGCGTATGGTTTTCTTAAGTAAAAATTATTTTTAAGAGCTTGGCGTAAAAATAATAAAGAAACATGTTTCTTCAATAATTATTTTATATGTATAATGGGTTCTATTTTTATAATATATACTACAAAATGTAATTAAAACATTAAGACTTTTGTTAGACAATATTATAACTAATTATTTAACATTTATTACATACTACTCATTAAAAAATGTACTTGGTTATTGCGAATATTTTTTAATATTCAACTATTTTCAAACAATAACAGTATTTTACAATAGAATTTAGTACAGAATATAACTAGAATGGGTAATGAAACATTTTTCTAGATTTACATTGAATGTATTACATTCAAAATGTATATAATCTTTAATTACAGGACACCCTCGTCATGAGATGACGTCAGCCAAGAGCATAGATTCCGTGTTCTCCTTCTTGGAGAAGAACTTGACATCAAATTAGATTGGCAAACTCAATGCTATTGCCATATTTCGTATAAATGTGAACTTGTAAGGCAAGACATTGCCAGTAAACCGTTTAATAAAATTTATCAAAACATTTTATCCTAAAATTGATGTTAGAATGAATCTATTAAATAAATAAAATATATATTAGTGTTAATTTTTTTTTTATTATTTTTTCTTTCCCTTTGAGAAATTTTTCATCCAATATTTAACATCTTGTTTGTCAGCCCTGATGCCTAAAACTGCAGATTTAGAGTTGACATCTTTAATAGCAAACGGTGAGTACCCCGCTGTATAATCTGGGTCCATTGCATTCGTTTTCTTGCGTGCCAGTTTTGTTGCAAATCTCTTATGTATATGCTGATCTTCCGTCAATATTGGATATTGGAAGTGTTGACCACCTTTTGGAGTTGGTAAACTAAACCGTTTACCTCTAGCTGTGAGAGGTTTACGTCCATTAATATGGATATGTTGATTACCTTCATCGTCAACACTCACTCCTACCTTTTTTAATGTAGCATGTCCACATTTCGAACAAAACAACTTAGTCATAACGCTGGTTGTTTTAAAACATGTTGTGCAACGGAAAATAAATGTACGGAGTTGTCTGATTATTCTACCATCTATAGCTGTTACATTTAAACCTATTTGTTTTAAGACATTCTGCATAGCAAAGTCTGATGTAATACAAGCAACTTCTACATCCTTTTCTTCAAACTCTCCCATCTCCATGTCTTTTTTCTTTTGTGCTAAATTTGATGGTGTTATCCATTCTTCTCCTTCACTGTCTGATTCTTCCTCACTTTCTGAATCATCTTCCTCATCGGAAACTTTCACCATTACATTATTTAGTTCACTGTCATCTTTTAAATCAATGTTTTTTATTTGTTCAGCAATATCTTCAGCCAGTTCATCTTCAATCTTATATTCATTTGAATCTGTTTGACATTCTGAGGTTTTATTCTCTTTGACTACATTTTCATTGGATTTTTCAACTTCAGAAGCATCTTCATTGCTTTTTGAATCATCTTCTTGTTTTATTGTAGTTTCATTATCAATATTACCAACTTCTGGATGTAGATTGAAATTGGATAAACCACTTACTTTAATAGTCTTCTGCATTGTGGGCTCAGATTTAAGATGTTCTGTACCAACTTTTTCTTTCTCCAGTTGATAAGTTAGAGCTATTACCTTTATATCGGTAGCAGATAAGCTCGTGTAATCTCCAGTCTTCTTTGAAAAGTCTGTGACGAATTTAATGCTTTCAGTGAAAACATCTTTAACATTAATATCGTACGGAAGAACGACAAGTTTTCTACGTTGTCTATCATTTGTTATTTCGTCAATAACTTCTTGAACCGTGTAAACGTTTTCAGCTATATTTAAAAGATTCTCAGCTTTTATAAAAGCTGTCGTATCGACAACTAAATGTTTGATCGTTTTCGACATTATTTAACGTTCTTGCACACAAAATTATATCCTTAGTTTTAATTTTTGTAAAATATTTTATTATGTTCTCGTAAACACGTGCAAATAGTATTTTGAAAACGGACTGACGTTTGTTTGACTTTGACACATGTCGGATGTTCATTTAGTGCCTATTACTTTTGATGTTACTCTTTGTGAAGGTTGGCTTTTTGTTTTTATCACTTAAAAAAAGTAAACAACATCTTAAAAGCTTTAGTAAATAGAAGTAATTTAAAAAAGCTTTTTTTTAAACTGAAAAAAAGTTAAAGCATCTTTGCTCGTGGTTTGTTGTGAGAAATACAACAAAGAGTCAATGCTTTTACTCTTTGAGTGATTTTTGACAAATGTCAGTGTGTTTGTAATTGTATCATTTGGTTTTATTTAGATATTTAGAATTAGGCGATTTTCTCAGAAGAATAAACATTCTTAGGTTCATATTTGTGTTATGATAGATTTTATAGCAATATGTCTAACATGAATTCAAAGAGAGGTAAAAAAACCATGGGGAATAAACATTTTCCTATAGCCGAATCTGTAAGCATTGCATTAAAAATACAGCTAGATAAATTTCTAAATGACGAAAATGAAACAGAATTGAAGTTCCCAACTTTCCTGTCGGCTCAAGAGCGAGGTTTCATTCATGAGACAGTGGCTAAATTGGGTCTAAAATCGAAATCGCGCGGGAAAGGTACATCACAATTTTCTACTTGCTAATTTTTTTTTTAAATCTTTTAAACAGAACAGAAAATATGATTACTATTAAACAGAAAAGGATTAAAATATGTAATAATCATTAACATTTTACTTTAATTAGTACAAATAAACATTTTTTAATATTACGAAAATTTGCACAATAATTTGTAAAACATAAAAACATGTCTTCCCTAATTTACAGGAGTGAATCGTTATTTAACGATATACAAACGCGTGGGATCCACGATCATACAAAATGATGCAAAACTCATACTGGACTCTAACATGAGATGTAGTATTGTGGAGATGTTATCTTCATTTCCTTTGACTAACAAAGAGAGAGATGACTTAAGTGTAGGACCAGAGAAGGAGAGACAACCTCAGTTAACACATAAAGTGCTTGGTCAATTGAATAATGGAGTGGCACAGGTAAGAAATTATTATTAGAACTGCTTAATGGTGCAACTTATGCAAAATGTTTTGCTTTTCCCATTAGGAAAAGGAATGCTAAGTTATTGGTAATATTTATAAACCAGTAGGGTAACTTGATTTCTCTATCAAGAAAGTAAATTTTTGTGAACACACAGAAATCAATTAAAAAAAGAATTACCTTGGTGTTCTCGCTGTTTGCCCTCTTTTATTATAAAAAAAAGTAAACAAGTCCATCCATCCAATTTTTCATATTGTATTAGTATCATATAATATTTTATGTAACTTATTTGTGTTCTTGCAGATTCCAAACACAACATACAACCCTGATTTATTGAAATTCAGAGAAAAGCTGCCAGTTTATGAACATCGACAGGAACTTCTCAATGCCATATCTCATAACCAGGTCTTATTATATTTTATTTTTATGACTACTTTAATATTCCATTTATGGAAAACTATCTATCGCCTGCAACTCCTCGTAGAATTGAAAAAACAGAACTGAGTATACTATGTGTTCTTCCAGACTAATCTCTACATCATCATCATCATCCACCTGCCCTTATCCCTTATGGAGGGTCGGCACAGCATGTGCTGCTCTTCCATACATCTCTATCAGCCGTCATATCTGAATCCACTACT